GGGGACAGCTGTAGTGATGTGTCAGCTAGATGCTGTAATGGGGACAGCTGTAGTGATGTGACAGCTAGATGCTGTAAAGGGGACAGCTGTAGTGATGTGACAGCTAGATGCTGTAAAGGGGATAACTCTAGTGAATTGACAGCTAGATTCTGTAATGGGGATAACTGTAGTGAGGTGACAGGTAGATGCAGTAATGGGGGCAACTGTAATAATGTGAAGAGTAAACAGTGTAATGGGTAGTTTGCCCATTCAACTGAAACTGCAGTTATAGGATATTTTTTCTTTAGTCATCTTCACACAGAATGATTGACGTCTGGACACAGTATTGTCCTCCTACCTCTGGAGGGCAGCACAGCCCATGGCTGCTGCCCTCTGGTAGCCTGAGAGAACGCTCCATCTGATTGTCTCCCTCCCACCTGCTGCAAAGAACCAGCCGGGTATCAGAGCTGGAATGGGACGTCATTCCACCATCCAGGGAGGAATGAATGACTTAACCATCCAACTTTCAGCCTTTCTATCTTTCCCCAAATTCTCCAACTCTTTCTGCCCCCTTATTGACAAGAGGATTTGGCTGATCTCCCTTCTACTAATCCCTGCCACCTCCTTCCACCGGAATCCCTCAAACTACAGTCCTACTCGGCCACGCTGTCCAGCTCTCTCCAGCTAATCGCAGGAGTAGAAGCCCAAACAGCAGAGGCCCTCCGCTGGAACCACTGATCCGACAGCCTGGGCCATGTCCTCACCGTCGCATGAGGGTCGGCGCGCATCTTCGTGCGAGGCCTGCCCCCCCTCAGCTCCACCACACGCTCCCTCCATCGCTCCGCTCGCTGCTGCAGCATGCCGCCCGTCTGACAAAAAAAAAATTGGCTGCTATCGATTGCTTCTGAGCGCCACAGTAAGTCACGCTTCTCAAGCTATTTACAGACACTGGGTCCAACTGGCATGCAGGGTGGCAGCAATAACACAGCATGCCAGGAATTATGGGAAAGTCAGCTAAAGTGGGCAGGAAACAGGACGTGCACTTAGGGGTCTCGGGAGCTGTTGGTTGCTGCTGGCTGCTCCTGCTACCTTGTTCATAAGGTACAGTATGGACTGAGTGAGGCCGCAGTGCTTCTCAGCAAGAAATCGGAACCTCCTCTCCTCCTCTTTCAACGCCTCCTGCTGGCTCTGCCAAAGGAACTGCATGTAGCTGCTGCTGCTCTGTACGCAAACAAACAGAAAAATGCAGACAGGCAGACATGCTGGCAGATGGGTTCAGTGCTGGTGCGTGATGCTCACTTGCCGGCACGTGGACTCACCTGGGTGTTTCTCTGAGAGCCTCTTTTCAGCTGCTTCTCCAGAGCTGCTGCCTGGCATCTCACCTCCATCTCATAGCGCCTCTTGCAGGCCTGGAGAAAGAATTGCAGAATTACCCCTGAGATACTGAGGAACTAAATTAGATCATTTTTAGTCTATGTATAGTAATAGGAGACCCACAGTAGGAGGGAGTACTATGCGTCAATAATTGATTGGTTTACCCCATTTCTCACAGGTTATTTCGATTGCCAATGAGTTCAATCATTTACTGACAACTCATCGTGAACTGCATCCATTGCCTCATTTCTCCGGGCCCTAAATGCATAGTTTATACAGTTAATAGTTCTTTAATAGTACAGCTATTAGATTTGCCTCTCAGTTGAACAATGGAAACATACAAGTATGGAGAAGAACCATTCACCGATATGTAATCTTTATCCATCTTGATATTACTGTCCATCTCCTGCAACACATCAGTATGAAACCAACGAAACTGCAAGAAAAATGTGCAAAAAGAGAATAATCGTTAATTAACTGCAGCAACCGGAATGGTAACGATACGCTTTCCTGTATAGTAGCTCTATTATCGGCTCTCCCAGGAGGGCCTTTGGTAGCGCTTAGCACGCTAACGATGTCACTGGAACAGGTGTAGAGCTCCACTTTAGGCAGCCAGAGGGGGTTTTCTGTCACTCCCTAGCCAGGGTTGACCTCTTTGTTTATTATTAGTTGTCTGGCCCTATTAGAGATGTGACGCAATGGCTCCTAAAAGACATAAACCTTAGACTATAAGCGAGATAACAGCCAGTGCTATCTCCTCATTTCCATTCCTAAACAATGTTCTGGAACCTTCCACAGCAACTGGGACTCCTGATGTGGACTCAGACCAAGCTAAAAGAGTGTGGTACACCTACGACGGGCTCCAGTTCAGCCATGAGTCTTCTCTGATTCTCGGAGATCTCGATTAAGATGTCCCCTGTAAAAGAAAATGCCAGAAGTTTCACGGAACTTTTGCTGACAAGCTATACATGCACAAACTCTTCAAGCAGCACGCCACAAAAACCTGCACACTCAAACAGAATGTGCGTAAATCACTTCCATAAATTTCCAACAAACATTTACTTAGTTAGACTCCAGCAGAGTTAGTGGTTATTTCCTGCAGGAGAGAGGACATGCGGATTATGATTCAGATAGGATGCCAGTCAATCACTGTTCAATCATTCACTCAGAATGGGCAAATTAGGGTTACCTGAACCATGTGGTGTTTTACCGGTGAAAACACAGACCCAGAACTTACCCACCACATCAACACCCGTAACTATTTAATTATTTACATAGTTTACTTCTGAGTGATTGCCCAGTATTTTTTAAAAGTTAGTAAGTATAAGAGGCCCCTTTTTACTATGTCCTGTGTGGTGCTAGTCTCCAGATTCAAATTAATCTGGAGCACTCCACCGCCTCCAGGAGCCACTCGACACGGGAGCAGCTGAGCAGATTAATTGGCTGGGCCTGAAATTTGGCCTCAATCTATTATTCAAGCAAACGGCGCACGCGGACCATCTGATCCCAGCCGGCGTCCGCTGCCATGTGCATGCAAAGTCACACCAGCTCGCAGCTGCCGGGGTCGTGAGCGCCCACTACACTTGGTGCACCTAGAACCCGTTTTCTGCTGGACATGGGTAACATCAGGCAGAGCTTGGCAGAGTGGCCTCGCTGTGTACCCTATTCTTTGTTGCACTGTGCTAGAAGACTGCTCCAGCTGACAGCCTGCTGGCTTGCTGACTATATACCCCTAAAGACTTCACTGCACTTCTTTCAGCAGCTTAGCAGGACCACTGAATGCACATTCAGCAGTATCTGTTTTTCAATTTCTATCTTAATCAGATCTATGGTAGACAGGGATAGAGTAATTAGAATGATATCGAACCGACAGCACACAGGCACACACGCATTCATATAGAAAATACACAATCATACACACATGCACACTCATACACACACACACACACACACACACACACACACAGACACATGTACACACACACACACTGTTTCCATTCACCACCATCTAGTCAAATGTCTGATCAGATTTAAGGTTTTAGATTCATGGAGCCGAACAGAAGAAAAGATCAAACTCTTGGAAAGACAGGATGTAACTTCAGGATGTCATTTCTGCCTCCCTGGTTGATATTTAATCTCGTTCAAAAACACTGTTGGCGGTCGGAGGAGCCAAGTTTACGGCTGCATTTTCATGGGGGGTGGGGGGGTGCATATGCCACGTGTGATTAAGATCTTGGTTCTTACCTAGTGAGTAGGATGAGCTGCTTCGAAGGGCTTGCTCACCCATCTTGGCCAAGGCATCAAAGTAGGCCTTACTGGTTACAGCCAAGGCTGCGGACCACCACACACACACACACACACACACACACACGTTTGTAATTATATATTGGTGAGGACTCTCCATTCATTTCTATGGGGAATACTCTAATCCCAACATGACAACCTTAACCCCTACTCAGCCCTAACCTTAACCACAAGTAACCAAACAAAATATGAGACTTTTGGCATTTTTAGTTTTTTTCAGTCACAGATCTTTGTGGGGATCTGTATAATGGACCCCAGAACGTCAAAATAACAGGTTTTTATAAATAACACACAGTGTACTTTAAACATAATCCACACACACGGTGTTTATGTAGAGTGTAATGCGAGCGGCGTCCTTTAATCCTCTTACTCTCACCTTGGAAAGCCTGCACGTAACTGTTACCGAGACCGACAAGTTTTTGCAAGAAGGGGTTGAACTGATCCAAAATGTTCTGCACATGAAAAGATGCTGTCAGTTACGGTACATAGACATTTTGTACAGACGATGAACAGGGTTATGAAGGCGACCACAGAGATTTTTTTTTTATTAAACTCGATTAATGTAATGTTAAAATTATAGTGATATTTTACATGTACTTGTTACGTCTGTGCAATAATGATACTAATATTTACCAGAGCCTAGCAGAGAATTTCCGAGGCGCAGAGGGGGCTCCTCCTCTCTAAATTAGTCGTGATTGTCGGTGATCGTGTCTGCATTTTAAACGTGACTGGTTCGCCAAAACTCCCGGTACCGATAAGGGAACAGATCGAAAATAAACTCTCACTCCTCCGAGGGGGTGGGGGGCACTTTCGACCGTTTGCGCAAATGGGTCAGGTGCTCAGGCACATCCCCGTTCTTGCTCTTTTTCGTCGTCAGTGATCTTAAAGTATTTGGCATTGTGCGAGAAATCAAAACAAATACAAATGATACATTATATTGTAATCTTTCGGAAGGGAAAACTTACCGCGTATACTCCCAGAGTCGACCGATGCACATGATCGCTGTTCGGCCCTGACATGGTACCTCTCCCCTGTTATGGAAACGCGATCAGATCAAGTGAATTCGATCAATTTCAACAGATTATATAAAAGCGTTAAGAGGAAAATACTGGACACTATATATAAAAAAAAAACCTGAGCCGATCAGTAATAATACACAGCTTTAGGTTTTAAGAAGAAACCCTTGTTCCCTGCACGTACTAGTCCGAGAAACCTCCTGTCAGGTGAGCTCTAAGAAAGTGCAGGCAGGGCTGTAAATTATTTAGCGATTCCAAAAAAGGAGATTAAAAAAATGTTTTAAGGCTCCATATCAAACACAGGTCCACAGGTAATAAGGAAATGGCGGAAAATATAGTGGAAACCAGACATAAAAATTATTTATAAAAGGAGCAAATATGTTAATGTTATATTTGTGTGATATGTAGTATCTAGACTAGGCATTGAAACAATAATCAGTTACAATCACAGATCCTTCCATGGAGAGTTACACCCACACGTTTTATGCCAGAAGTCGCATTTATTTCTTGCAGCATGCAGTTCCAGGCCAAGATTATTTTGTCAGGTAATTTTAGCAGCGAGCACCTTCCTTGTTGTTGTGCATCAGAAAGTTCACCTTGTTTGTAGTATAGGAGGCATTGTCTCAGTTTCATATACAGTGAGTAATCACTAGCTATAGTAAAATTATTGTAATGGCATCAGGGGGGGTTATCATATAGATCAGGGGTGTCAAACTGCAGTCCTGGGGGGCCGCAGCCCTGTGTAGCTTAGTTCTTTCCCTGTTCCACCACAAATGATTCAGCTCAACAGCTATGTGGTAATTAGCACAAGAAGGTGAATCAGGTGTGTTAAACTGGGGGAAACCCAAAAATGTGCAAAGCTCTGGCCCTCCAGGACTGGGGTCTGACACCTGTGATATAGATCATACAGATCATATTGCATACATGAAACACTTTTATTTCATCAATGAATGTGTTTACCAGCCCCAGGCCTTCAGCTCCTGCAGCGACATGCACACAGGCTGGCTCTGATGGCCACCTCAGAGCGGCCTCCATACCTCTGAAATCCGTAGTGGAAAATCACCAGGCTCTACAGGCCGACTGGCCCCAAAATACTCATTCGCAAGTGCTCCATTACTACAAACACCCATCGTTTTTCTGTAACCGCTTATCCTGTGCATGGTCATGGGGGAGTTTGGAGCTTATCCCAAAGGCTACGGACACAAAGCAGGGAACAACCCAGGACGGGGCACCATCCCATCGCAGGGCACACTCATAGGATGTTTTAGGATTGTGGAGGGAAACCAAAATAAAACCCCATAACAACATGGGGAGAACATGCAAACTCCACACACATGGAAGCCATAGCAGAAACCCTGTTTTCAGAAGTGTGAGGTAACAGTGCTATAACCACTGCACCACCATATTGCCACTGCTACTAACACCAGTAACTACAAAATGACATCTAATACAGCTTAATATCTTAGGATTTCTCAAAATGTATTCAAAGCATCAAATCACTGAGATTTATTCCACACACTCTCTTGTGAGCCCTCAGAGGAGGTAATGATCATGCACTGATTACAGTATGTTGCCACACCCACCACAGGGATGAACCTGAGTGCAGCTACATGGCAAGCAATACCTCAGCACCACTGTAGTCCAAAAGGACCAGCATGTTTTTTTTTTTCCCAGTGCCTGGAGTGCCAATCCTGCCACAATCCCCACGTTTTTTTTTCCCTGTAAGTTGGAGAACCTCCTTTTAAGGCTGGATGTAAATTAACACCATACGCAGGATGAAGCAGGTTAAGGACCTTGCTCAAGAGCCCAACGAAGTAGAATCACTGCAGGCATTCACATGATTTGAACCAGCAACCTTCCAATGGCTGGCACAGATCCCTAGCCTCAGAGCCACCACACCAATGCCTCAGACACAGATATATTTTTAAAATATCAATATTATAGTGAAGGAGACAGGGGTCTAATTTCATATTTGCTCAACTCCCAATATGAGTGAACTCCACTGCAACCAGACGCATCAAATCCAAACCTGGATCACACAAACTTTGCAATTTTAATGATCGTTCCTTTTCAAGATTGGCTAGTATATGTCCAAAAAAAAATCAGTGTGAAGTGTACACCACTGCTTCTGCATGAGCTCTGTGTGTGCTCTCTGAGCCTATCAGCATTCTCATTCTTGCTGTGGGACTCACTCACACAGTGTGGAGCATTTTGGAGAAATTTAACAGAAATAGGTGGGTGAGAAAAATGAACAAAACTGGTCTCCACCAGACATTTGTCTTCCGCTGTATGGAAACATTTTGAAATCGACTGAGATGATATTGAGCAAAATCGAGTGGTTTGTTGGCACTGCTTTGCAGGGCCGTGCAGAGACGTTTAAAGGGGCGGGTGCTCAAAGTTAAAAAAGATAGAACAGGCTGAATAACAACAACTCACATTCATGATGAATCTAATATGGAATTATGTGGATATCCATATTAGATCGTTTTTAGTGAAATAAAAGCCCTCCAGAAAAGAAGGGAAAAGTCCTGTAACTTACTTTAAAACAAAACATGTTCCCTAAAACGGTGGACAGAGCTACAGACCCCCTTGTAACACCCTTACCCAGTTAGCTAGCAGTTAATGACCACCACTACTTTTGCAGTTCATAAAAGGACAGGTAATGTTTGTCGCGCTGTTGCACAAACAGCATGCTCATTTATTTCAATTCATTTGTTGTTATAGACTATAGCAAGGTTTCTCAACCCAGTCCTCGGGGACCACCAGACGGTCCACGTTTTTGCTCTCTCCCAATTGGCAGGGAATTGGGAGAGAGCAAAAACATGGACCGTCTGGTGGTCCCCGAGGACCGGGTTGAGAAACCCTGGACTATAGTGTGCGCTGTACACCCTATTTACTGTTTTGTTGCAGTCTGCACCTTCCAATTAATTTGCCTGCTTCTCCTCCAGCTCCGCACCACCCAGCCTGCAGAAAAAGCGCGTGCACTTTGCAAGCTCGTACCCGGCTCGTAACGAGCGCGCTCTGCCCTCAAGGGCAGGCATTGGTTAATGGCAGTCATGTGACTGATGCAAGCCAGATCCTTTTATTTAGCAAAATTGAGATTAATAGTTACATTTTATTGTTGAGGGGCAAAGACAGGGCTCCATACGCACATACACATTAAAAAAAAAAAAAAAAAAAACCAACAAAAAAAAAACCCAAGAAAAGGGCACTTGAGGCATCCTGGAGGAAAGGGGCGGGTGCTCAAGCACCCTCCGCCCCCCCCTCTGCACGTGCCTGCTGCTTTGTCAAAGTGAAAAGTTTTATCATGTACACAACCAAACAGTGTGTAATGAAATTGTCGGGACCAGGGCCTGTCCGATCCTACCCTTCATGTCTCTATCCTGTTTGGCCAGCAGGTGTCACTGGATATCCTGCTTTTTCACTCTCTGTCTAACTCTTGTGTGTTCCACTGCTCCTTGGAGTGCCACATGGCTCAAGAGGTTGAGTGTGTGGTATAGAGGCTACCACCCTGCAGACTTGTGTTCAAAGCAAGCTTTACCTGTTTAGTTTAATTATGGATTTTTTTTTGTTGTTCCTAGTGTTTGTAGTTATTTTACTCCTCTTGTTTGCCCTGTCTGTGTCCTGTGTGATTTTAGTTTTTGTCTGGGTGTATTCAGCCCTCTGTGTTATGCCGCATAATTTCTAGTTTTGGTTTAAGGTTCTTTAGATTCATGCTCGTTTAAGTGTAATCTGCCCCACCTGTTCCTAGTTGTTCCGAGTCCTTTTTGTTTAGGTAATTCATTATTAGTTGCACCTGTTTATTGTTTGCCCTGGTGTTCCTCTGTATTTTAGTGCTTGCCTTTGTTTTACTCCCTAGTTAGTAATTCTGTGGGAAGTTAATATGTGTGGCACTGTATGTTCCTGCATGTACTGTATATTGTTCTGTGTTGGTTACCTGTTTTCTTAGTTTTGTTTGCCATATACCTGTCCCCATTTGTGGTTCTATTAGACATGTTCCCCTGCTTAGTTCTAACCCCTTGTGGTCCTTTTGTTGTGTATTTTAGCCTAGTGTGTTCTGGGGGGGTATTCCATGAAGCAGTGGCCTGTACTACAAAGTGGGGTTACTGGCTTATCGGGGTAACTTGTCGGATTTAAGGTACCACACTTTAAATGGACTTCATATTTGTTCACTTACATTTTGCCCAAACTACCTCAAATCCGACAAGTTACCCTGGTAAGCCAGTAACCTCGCTTCGTGGTACAGGCCACGGGATTAAGGGAAAGTCGGACTTATTTCGACAAGTCTGGCTCATTTAAGTGGGAGTTCTGTTCCATCAATGTGTCTTAAAGGAAACACCGCTTTAGTACCATGGTAACTTACACCAGTGAACAAGCCTGCTCCGGACCAGGGCCTCATGTACACTGAACAAAAATATAAACGCAACACTTTCGATTTTGCTCCCATTTTGCATGAGCTGAACTCTAAGATCTGAAATGTTTTCTACATACACAAAAGGCCCATTACTCTCAAATATTGTTCACAAATCTGTCTAAATCTGTGTTAGTGAGCACTTCTCCTTTGCCGAGATAATCTATCCCACCTCACAGGTGTGGCATATCAAGGTGCTGATTGGACAGCATGAATATTGCACAGGTGTGCCTTAGACTGCCTAGACATGCTGCAACATGAGGTGATGATCGTGGATGAATGGCACTACAATGGGCCTCAGGATCTCATCACGGTATCTCTGTGTATTCAAAATGCCATCAATAAAATGCACCTGTGTTCGTCGTCCATAACATACGCCTGCCTATACCATAACCCCACCACCACCATGGGCCACTCGATCCACAACATTGACGTCAGCAAACCGCTCACCCACACGCCGCCACACACGCTGTCTGCCATCTGCCCTAAACAGTGAAAAGCGGGACTCATCCGTGAACAGAACGCCTCTCCAACGTGCCAGACGCCATCGAATGTGAGCATTTGCCCACTCAAGTCGGTTACGACGACGAACTGCAGTCAGATCCAGACCCCGATGAGGACGACGAACATGCAGATGAGCTTCCCTGAGATGGTTTCTGACAGTTTGTGCAAAAATTCTTTGGTTATGCAAACCGATTGTTGCTGCAGCTGTCCGAGTGGCTGGTCTCAGACGATCATGGAGGTGAACATGCTGGATGTGGAGGTTCTGGGCTGGTGTGGTTACACGTGGTCTGCGGTTGTGAGGCCGGTTGGATGTACTGCCAAATTCTCTGAAATGCCTTAGATGGCTTATGTTAGAGAAATGAAGATTCATTTCACAGGCAACAGCTCTGGTAGACATTCCTGCAGTCAGCATGCCAATTGCACGCTCCCTCAAAGGTTGTTACATCTGTGGCATTGTGCTGTGTGATCAA